TAGTAAGACGAGACACAATCCTCAAGTTGATTGAGACGTAAGCTTAAACGTAGAAAAATAAAAAGATCACAAAATTAAAATATTTCATAAATAAATCATAAACAGTTGATAGATATTTTATTATCATATTTCATAAAATCATATGATAAGAAGAGCAACTCAAATTTCAATGTAAATGTTAGTCAAAATTGAAAGTGTGAAAGAAGATTCATGTTAGCATCCAAGAACTTAAAATGAATTTATAAATTGATATTTTTCTAAGTATGATACATTTAAATCACTAATTATTTGTTTTGCCAAATCTTTGAGAATAAAAATTGTTTCCTTTGTTAGTTCTTCAAAATTTTGATGTATTATTATAATTTATTCATACGAAAATTTAGATGTTACTTTTCATAAATAGATCATATTTAAATGTTTCATAGAAGTAGATATCCTAATTTAAGCCATCCTTTTAAGAATTGAGAACTATTCTTGCTTAAGACTCACCAAGCTACACAATGTTTCAATAACTTGCAGGCATAGAAGACGAACTCCTAGTGAAATTTATTCAAGGTCATAGCTCTGTTCGGCTTTCCGACCTCAGCTCATTTCGATCCCTCCACAAGCCACTTCAGCTCGCCTTATATGCCACCAAAAAATCAACTCAAGCTCAATGCCTCCTCTTCACCAGTGCCTATGAGCTCGAGCCCCGCATCTTCAACTCTCTTCGTTCCCAGCTCCCTTTACCTATCCTCCCCTTAGGCCCCATCATCCCTTATGTAACCCCCCAACACACCAATCTCAAAACCCCCTCTCATGATGATGACGACTACCTCACCTTGCTCAACTCACAACCTCAAAGCTCGGTGCTTTATGTCTCTTTAGGCAGCTTCCTATCAGTCTCAAGAGCTCAGATGGACGAGATTGCTTTTGGTTTGCTAGCAAGCAATGTGAAGTTTTTGTGGGTTGCACGAGGCGAGTCGTCTCGACTAAGGGAGATGATTCACAGTGGTGGCGGCGACGATAGGGGAATGGTGGTGACGTGGTGTGATCAATTGAAGGTGCTTTGTCACAGTTCTGTCGGTGGCTTTTTGACACACTGTGGATGGAATTCGACGATGGAAGGGATTTTTGCGGGCGTCCCAATGCTTACATTTCCGATAGTGGTTGATCAGCCGGTGAACGGGCGGCTCATTGTGGATGAGTGGAAGGTGGGGGCATGGTTGAGAGAGGATGCGAAAAACGGAGGTGTGGTTGGAAGGGAAAAGGTTAGTGATTTGGTGAAGAGGGTGATGGATTTGGAAGGGGATGAGAGTGTGGAGAGGAGGAAGAGGGCTGAGATGCTTAGGGAAACTTGTAGGAGGGCAACTGAAGAGGTTGGATCTTCCATTGTTAATCTTAATGATTTGGTTGAGTTTCTCGTGAAGGTAAAAAAAACTTTGCCGGCATATTCTGAGTGAAAATTTGTTGGGATATAATGTTAACAGAAACGATCATGATTGCCTTGTAGCTCAATAAGAAGTTGTTTCACTTGCAGCTTCATTTGTCTACCAATTCCTCTTTAATAAATTGATTGGGTGTTTTCTTATTTAATTTGTCTGAGTTAGAAGTCATGATGGCTTGCCATGGAAATCAAGTGTAGATAGCTTGCTATCTGCAGGTAACTTGTTTTTTTTATTAAAGACAAGTTAATATTTTTTAATAAAAAAATATGCAAAAATTGCACTAAATAAATTATTTTTTTAAAGAAAATTAAAATAAAAAAGAAAAAAAAAAAAACAAAAAACAAGCCCTTAATTGATGTTTCATAATCTTTTCTGTCAAGCTCATGCACTTTCAGGCTTCAAAAACAGAAATAAAAACAACTAAATGGTAAGGAAAAAAACTAATTCTTGATGAATGAAAATGAAAGCTATTGATTTTTGAAAATTCAATTTGCATCTTCAAATGTTCGAGGTTCTGCAAAGTCATGTCTAGTTTCTTCTCATTAAAAGTTCCTTTAGTGCCACATAGATCAGTGACAAGTAAATTTCCTACTTTTACTCTAGTGGAGCTTGAGGGTTGATATTACATGGATTTATGTGGACTTTTTATGATTTTAATAATTGCATTTTGCATCTTGGACACTTCTTTTTTTGTTTTGAGTTTGGCATCTAATAAAATTCTTTTCCTTGTTTAATAAAATTCAAGTTTAGTGCAAGACAATCTAATGCTGATAGAGGTTGGAGACAGCTCATGTTAGCTTCAAATGAGTATTCACAAACAAATAGAGAAATGTAAGAAGATCAGGGAATACTAAGGTCTTGTTTGGGATCATTCTCTGTTGTCTGTTTTTTATTTTTTAAAACAAAAAACGGAAATCAAACCAAGAAAATAGCGATTGTTTATTCATTTTATTTTTTTTAATTTTATATTTAAAACACATTAAGCGTGTTTTCAAAACATAAAAAGCACAAAAATTATGTTTTTGTTGATTCAAAAATATGTTTTTTGTAACTATGCCCTAAACCTTAAAGTAGCTTAATCATCATTGGCTGAGATTAACATAACCAAATCAAGCCATTAATCTAGTAATTAACTCTTAAACTTGCTTAATTAAATCATTAATAAGTTAATGGAATTATAAAAATAATTTAAATTAAACCAATTAATAAAATACTTAAACTAATAATCATATAATGCAATCATTAGTTATTTAATGGAACCTAAATAATTTAATTAAATTATAATCACTCAATTTAATAATAAATCTAGTTAATTAACTTAACAATCAATCAATTATACCCATAATAATTCAAATAAAATATTCATTATTTAATTAAGTTAATAATAATAAAAGTAAAACCATAAATTATTTAAATAGATCATTAAATATATAGATAATTAATAAAATATTAAATAATTTAATTAAAATACTAATTAACAAATTAAATAATTTTTTAAATAAATTAATTGAAATTTTGATTAATCCATAAAATTTAAATAAACATATAAAAATTTTAAATCAAATTAAAACTTCAATTTAACAAAACCTTAACTTAATAAAATAAATAAATAAATAAATAATTTCAATAATTCACCAAAAAATTTATTAACATGTTAGTTAGTAACTAATTAAGATGTTAGTAGCTATTAGAATTTAATTAATTTTTTTTAAAATTATAACTTTTTCTTTAAAAAATAGAAAATATCAAACCTTCATTTTTAATAATCAACTTTATCTGTACTATAAGTCTAGCTTTTGTTTATCCACAACAGTCAGAACTCAAAAGTTTCGTTCTCAGTCGGAGTATAAAATTCATAATCTTTTTTCTAATGATTTTGAGACCAAAGGACGTAGTATAAAGTAGAATGAAATATTAAGATTCTTACTTGTCTATCGTAATTGTGCTTTTCTATTTTGAAAAGCACAATTCATGTTTTATATATTTTGTTTTAAAAAACATATCAATCATAGCAGTACCAACCACGTTTTCTAAAATAGAAAATTGAAAACAAAATAAGAAGAAAACATTTTGAAAACAAAAATAAAAATTGAAAATTGGAAGGATCCTAAATAGGGTCTAAACTTTTAATGTGGAAAATCCACCAAGGAAAAAACATGAGGTACTGCAAGTTTGAAAATCTTACAAGTAAAGTCTTGTTTTATATGGACATATTTTCATAAAATTGGAGGTGTTTCTATAATGTATAAACCTAGGCTAGGAAGAATATCCCTTATCTGTGGAGGAATATCATAACATAATGTTTGTGTTGATGAAGATGAAAATTCAAATATTATCAATTTTATGGAAGAGGGTTACAAGCCAAGTACTCAAGCAATAGTTGGTGTCAATGAATGGTGATTATCAAGATACATAGAATAGTAGATGGCAAGGGATGGTGAGCAATGAACACAAGGTAATGATGAGCATTGGAGAATTGTGAACATTAGATGATTGACATCAGACATTAAGTGACCTAATATTGAGCAAAGATGGGCATCAAAGGAAAAGTGATGGTGTTATGTAAGCAACCTTAACCTATCGATTGAGTGCTTAAGCTTTCAACTAAGAGGTAATGGGTTCAACTCCTTGCACATATCGCGTCAGCATGTTTGTGATGAAATTATTCATGTCCTAAAAGAAAATGCCAAGTGATGATGTTGTTGGGTTAATTTTACGTTTCTAGTAATGTAAGATTCAAATTATAGTCTTATGGGCTTTGAAAGAACTTGCAATGATAAGATCATTTACAATATATATATATATATATATATCAAGGTGAAATCGATATTTGGTCCACTGGGCACCAAATATCGATTTCCCCTTATGGGTTGAAAATTCGGTGTGCTTGATTCTGATTCAAAGAGCCAGCGCCATAGAATTTGAACCCCCGATTCGAGGGACTTATGTCAGAGGCCGCACCAATGAGTTAGGTCTTTCGCGCATATATATTCCAAAAGGAGTGGCCAGAGGCTATGATACGAACCTCTAGCCACATATTGCACCTAACCACTTAAATACCACCCCCATATAGCATCAGTCGCCTTGGGGGGGGGGGGGGGGGGGGGGGGGGG